GAGAAAGGTCCAATGACTATTGCTAACATAGATGGACCCTGCGAGATTTTCAATGGTTTCAGAAATTTAGCTACAGCTGGATATGGAGACTGGAAACATTCTACTCACAAACTAGAGCAGCATGAATGTTCAAAAATATTCTGAGAGAACATTGTACTGCTGGTGAAATGAGCTGATGCATCAGGCTGTATTGATAAGAAATTAGCTAAGCATCACGTGAAATTCAATCCTACCAGTGCCAGGTTCTAAAGAGAAGTATTAGTGTTATAAGTTTTCTTGCACAGCAATGCCTTGCATTCTGAGGACTGGATGAGATAATGTACTCAACAAACAATGGGAATTTCCTTGGTTTTTACGGCATTGCTTACAAAATACGATTCATTTTTAGCATGTTTGGAAACATGCAAATTAAGGGTGGGTTCATGCAAATTCTACTACATGTCATGAGATAATTGTCTTTATTGGGGAAACATGTCCTGGAACCTATTGTAGGTTGTTTGAAGGAGTCAAAGTATTTTTCAGTATCTGTATACTCTATTCCTGGTTCCAGTGATATCAATCAACTCACTTGTGTTTTGTGATACACTGAAGGTGAAACACTGGTAGAACGTTTTGTCACCTTCTTAAACAATATTGGTCCCAGTGGACAAGATCAGGTCTTATGTTGTTTGAATTTCTCAATGATGTTGGCATTGATATCCAGAATTCCTGAGGTCAATCATATGCCAACGCATACAACATTAGTGGAAAATACAAGGGCATGCAGTTAATTATAATTATCCACTAGCATTGTTTGTACCACTGACTGCTCATTAACTTCACCTTGTTGGACAGGCTGCAATTAATAGTTGTTGTCCTATGGTAGCATATTTTGAATTTGTACAACAACTGTACGTATTTTTCCCAAGTTCTACTTCACTATTCACTTTATTGATGAATGCTCTCAAGCCTAAAATCTTGTTTGTATCCAAAAAATTGGGTAATATGCATTGGTCAGCTCATGCAGATGCCAAAAGAGCATTATACAAGGGCTATGATGAGATAGCAGATGTGTTAGACAGTTCTGATGATAAGCAAAAAGTTGAGACTAGATATACTACACATTCACTTTTCAAAACGATGTGCATATTGGAAATAGGAGCTTACACATGATTCTGGCATTCCATTCTTAACCATTTCAATCAAACAAGTAAAAGTCTACAAAATGAGTACACTGATTTCAACACTGCCATAACTCTTCTCAATTCAATATCAAAATTTATCCAATCCTTACATGATCATTTCGAAGAGTTTTTAAATTACAGAATCGAGCTCTCACATCCAAATGAATTTGAGCAAAAGATACACAGATGTCAGCCTAACATTTCTTTCGTCCCACTAGATTATGGTCAATTACCAGAGGCTGAGCTGACATCAAAGGATGCTTTTTGAGTCAACAGTTTTATATACATTAAACTTGATGAATTCTCAAATGCTTATGCAGAATTGAGCGATCGATTTGGGTTTCTCAAGCAACTTTTAGAGATGGAACTGCACCATATTCACTTGACAGCTTTGAAGCTAGTATGAATTTATGAATCAGATATCGATGATGGCCTGGGTAATGAGTTGGTTCAATTTAAAGCAATAATAGAAGAGAAGGGTACGGACAATGTAAGTGACACCTACATGTATAGCGAAGTAATTAAAGACAAAGATATTTTTCCTAATGTGGAAATTACTTTGAGAATCTCTCTCTCTCCTTAATGATTTCCAATTGTAGCAGTGAGAGATCATTCTCAAAACTGAAATTAATTAAAAATAATTTATGAAACACCATGGAACATTCAAGAATGGTGAATCTGTCTATTATTTCCCTTGAATGTGAAATTTTATAATCATTGAACATTGATCATATTCTTTCTTTGTTTTCAAATATTAAAATGAAAAGAAAATATATTAAATGAATGCATGATGAATTTAATATGTGTTTGTCTTGATTAATATTGTTTATCCTGTGTTACTTTTAATTTTAATATCATGAATACATTAGTTAGATTTTTCAATTCTGTATGTTAGTTTGTGCTCTATTTCACCAATAAATGACTTTACTAGTGGTATCATGTATAAAACCTCCTCTTATGTCCATGTTTTCCAATGAAAAAAGGTTTCTTGTTCATAGTTACCCAAGGCTCCCACAAGCTTAATATGGCCCTGACTGGTCTAACTACTACTTGATTACTTTCAGGTTTTAGGTAGAAGATATGAATTTTAAGATACATTTGACTTTTAATTTGTTATATTGTTATCAAAGTATTTAGCACATCATAATTTTAATGAATGTTGCTTATAATATAGTATCTTATTTCCTATTAATTTATTTGAAATGTATGATCTCCAGTTTCATTTGGAAACTTACTGATCACAAACTCAAATTCTTAGATGTTGACACCATTTCCCAGATTTGATCAACTATCCAACATTTACTAAGGAGTAGAAGTTTCTCAAATAATTTCTAATATATATCTAATAAGTGTTATGTAATACATACAAGTATATATGAATGATGATTTGGTCAATAGAGGATTTTTAAGTCAAGACTGCCATTGATTTGCACAATACTGAACAGAATTTAGGAACTATAATGAGAGTAAACGTAAATAATATATGAGGTAATTTCACTTATTTGGTACATCAGTAAGTTTTATTTCTAAACAAATTGGTAAGTCATCTGTCTATTTAAAAGAATCTAGTAGAAGCCTGAAACATATTTTCTTAAAAAACAAGAACAACAGGGAGATATGATCGAGGGGTGTTGAAATCTTTATTAATATGAAGAGATTACTTGGACAATTTATCCAAAACAGAGACTTGAATATTAGAAACATTAAATACAGACAAGCACTCTAGTAAATTAGATAAATCCATGGGCATAACTATTATTTAATAGTGTACTGTAAACATTTGGAGTAGTTCATATAATGAAGAAGTCTGACCAAGTAGTGTGGTTTGTTTTATGGTGAAGTAAAAGGATGGGGAAAAGTTGTACTAATTATTCTTTGTATTGGTAGTGAATATTTTATTAGAAGCCTGGTTAGTAATACAGGTTATAATCTATTTCATGTGATGATACTATATTGTCAGTATAACATTATTATCTACATACAGCACATGGAGTGCAACTGTATTGTGTTGTTAGAAAACTCAGTATTACAGGTTATAATCTTGTTCACCTGATGACATTATAATGTCAATAACAGAGATTATAATCTATATAGAGCATACAGATCATGACACTGTGTTGTCAGTAATACAAATTATAATGTAGCTCACACAATGACATTCTTGTGTTAATAACAGATACGATCTAGCTGGTATGACGACATTGTATTGTCAGTATGACATTATAATCTATCTGTTTCTAAAAATAAACCCAGCACTAAGAGAGTTGTATATCTCTAAGTGTGACAGTGTTAGATATACACAACTGTTCATTTTAAGTTTAATACAAGAGTATTATTTAGTTTATGTTGTGAAGCATTAAAGCAAGTTATTTTTAGAAGTGATAGTTATGGCAAGTTTGGTTACGTAACTGGTTATGAATCATTTGTTGTGTAGTTCAATTGTTGTGAATTGACATCACGTTACTTGAACCTTCTGAAATTTTCTCATTGCTTTAAGTGAGTATTGTTACATCATAACATCATATATATATATATTGTTATGTCTTTGTTCGTTTGTTAATTTCCCGTAAAAATTCTTTCTGAAGAACTTCAGCGATACAAGTCCTTTCTTTAATAAAACTAGTTTATTCTTTCTCAATACAACTTTGCAATACACTTAATTTCCACAGTCCTTTACCTTAAAAACACGCTATAATTCACAATGATTCACGCACTTTACTTACGACTTGACTCGATTATCTGTCTCAATATATCTCCCTCTGCTTTATTTGCCGGCTTATATACTAAAATAGAGGGTGCGTAGAAAAGACTAGAGTTGCCAGGAACAGTCATGATCCTTCTAGAAACTACAGTGCGCATGCTTCCAGTGGCACATGACTTCCACTGTCGTAACAATATATTGCCGACTGAGGCCTATATAGGCAACCAAGTTAGTGCAAGTAAGTTTAGTTATAATAGGGGAATTTCTGAATTGAGTTTCACAGCTCATATTATAATAACAGAATGGAGGAGAATCATTTGTCTTGTTAAAGGGTGTTCTAAAGTAATTGAACCCAACTGTGTGGACTCTGATGATAAGGAGACAATTATTTAAAGCTCTGGATACAGTTGTGATAAACAATAGTATAACAAATTTTTGTACATATGCTTGACTTGTTTTTAATATATTATTCTGAAGCAATTGGATGGTGTACTGTACGTTTATTGTTCAAATTTATCACCAACAAGCCACAGGCACCTACTGTAAAGAATCGTGGTCCTATAGAACCTAACAGACAGTGAAAGTTATCACTGAATGCAAGCAAAACCTCTGCACTAAACTTTTCTCAAACATTTTTTTTTTCTATAAAGTGATGCTGTGAGTTCCAAGTCAGGATTTCAGGAGCCTTTTGTGACCCATGAATCACTTATTGGGAACTAGGAATTTAGTCCAAGTTTGCCCCTGAAGAAGAAAGGTCCACCTTTCGAAAGAGCTCGGGTACATACTATGATGGTACTGTAATACCAATAATATAGGTTGTAATGCAACTCATTTGAGAAAACTGTACTTTGGTAATACACATTATAACACAGCAAGAATGAGGACTATATTCTCAAAAATACAGGTTATTACAACTCGACTACTATCAGTACATAAACCAGATGGGTCTATGGCTCAGTTGGGCTAATAGCAGAGTATATAACTTAGTTTGTATTTAATTTTACAATAAAATATGTACATTTATAGCTTTAGCAGCTACAATACAAGGTAGAAATATATCACAATAACAATTCTCATACAGTGGGCATATCACCGATATTTTTTCTTCAAAAACAAACAACAGAATATTTACTTACCCATTTGAATGCTGGAGCCCAGAAAAAAATGGTTTTTGGACCTATATGTAAGAGATAAAGTGAAAACATAGGCAACAGTTCTTTAGTTAGCTGTACTATTTAACCTTACAAATTGCATAACTATAAAGATACAGAACTTCATTAAAAACAATTACAAATCAGTCTAACCTAATAGCATGGGTCAAAGCACAAAGAACATCAATAAATCTTACAAATAACCACTTTCTGATCAGCCTGTTTGTTTCTAAGTTCAAAGCAACACAATGGGCTATCTGCACTGCGCCTGTGGTGGATACCATATCCTGATTCTTAGCATTATAAGTCTTTACGCTAACCGCTGAGCCACCAAGGTGCATTTTGATTCATCATCAGCAGTCCTTTGATAATCGAAAAATTGTGTCTCTGAGTGCCATGATCCTGTGAGACCTTCACCCACTTTTGGTGTGCACCCTTCAAACTGTCCTTGATGGATTTGCACCATTTGGCATGATCATTGACTAGTAGGTATATCAGCTGTGATCAAGTGATGGTTCATTACATCTTTGTAATGCAGCTTTGGTCCACCTTTCCACCACTGGCCAGAGGAAAGTTCTTCATAAAGTAGAGTCTTTAGAAGTCTATGTTCTGGCATATGCACCACATGACCAGCCTGGCACAATTGTCTTTTTACAAGCACAGCTTCTAAGCTGGGCATATCGGCATGATTCAAGACCTCCTCGTTAGTGATTTGATCTTCCCAAGATATATTCAGGAGTGATTGAGCTGTACGCCGGACAATCTCTTAGTATGACAATGATAGAGTGTATAGCATAAGTCTCTGCTGAATATAGTAGGGAGCTCAGTACTACAGCTTGATATAATTTGCACTTGGTTTTTGGTTGTTTGCCATACTGTTTCCAGACCCTTTCATATAATCATCAGAAAGAGGCAGATGCCACTTGGATCCTGCAGTCAAGCTCTGCATCAATGTTGTTGCCATTAATAACTGTACCGCTAAAGTAAGTAATCTAGTTAGTGACTTTTAGCTTGTCACCAGAGAAAAGAACAGTTGGCTCTACACAGTGATGGCCGATGAAGGACTTTGGTCTTTTTAATGTTATTCATTAACCTGAAAGCAGTGGATGCTTTGGAAAAGTGATCTAGAATGGTCTACAGACCATCTATCAAATTTGATACAAATACCACATCATCAGCAAACATCTATTCTCTGACTCAGATTTCAATAGTCTTAGTGCGAGCCCTCAGTCTTACGAGATTGAAAAGACCACCATCAATTTTCATGTGGATTTACATTCCCTCAGCAAGATTAGCAGATGCACAATCCAGAATAGCAGCTAGAAACAGAGTGAATAATGTGCGAGCCAATACGCAACCTTGTGTGAAAATACACTATTGGGAATGCTTTTGATGTAGCACCCCCGCGTGATACCTGTCCATTCATGCCATCATAAAATTTGTGAATAAATGTAACAAACTTCTCCAGACAGCGAACTTTACTGAGCAGCACCTATAGCATTTCTCTTACTATACTGTTAAATGCTTTGGTGAAATCGACAAACATGGCATACAGTGGCATGTTTTGTTCGATACATTTTCCCTGAATTTGCCACAAGGAGAAGATTATATCGGTCGTGCTTCTGTTCACTTGAAAACTTCATTGGCTTTCTTGCAGTACATGTTTGGAGATTGTTTGTAGCCGTTGAAGTGGTATTTTGGCCAGAATTTTTCCTGCAATTGATAGGAGCAAAATATCTCAGTAATTTCCACAGTCATGTTGATCCCCTTTACATTTGCAGATTTTTACAATTACGGCATTCTTGAACTCTTGTCAACATTGTTCAATAAGGTACAAAAATTCTATTTTAATACTAGTCCTCCATGTTTGAAAATTTGGGCAGGTAGACCATCCAAGCCCTGTGTTTTTCTAGATTTAATAATTTTCATTGCCTTCACAAGTTCTTCCAGAGTTGGTGGGTGGTCGAGCATTGCATCAATTGGTAATTGTGGCACCTGATCCAGGACTGCATCATGAATCACTGAGGTCTTGTTAAGCAAAGTATCAACATGTTCTTTCCATCTCTGCAAGATATCAACCTTGTTTGTAAGCAGTTGGGAACCATCAAAACTCTTGAGTGGAACAGTTACTCCACACTTTGGTCCATATACCACCTTCAAACGTGTTTGTCAGCTAAGGACTGTATCTCCTCTGCCTTTTGTAGCCACCATTGATCTTGAAGTTTGTGTAGATGTTTTTGGAGGTTTGCTTTAGCTGCATTCCATCACTTAGTGGATTGTTTAGTGTGCCTGCCATCTAATAGGCTTCTCTAGCTTTGTTTTTCTCAACTTGAATGTTATCACTATTTTTGTAGAACCAATTGGCATGCCTCTTATTGTAGAAACCAATTTCTGCAATGGCTCTGTCATATATAATGGTTTTGAAATCATTGGGATCGACTGAGCTGCTTAGGATTCATTTGTTTCAAAATCTTCAGAGATTTTGGTTGCAAATTTCTCTCTCTGAAAATGGGATCCAATCATTTCTATATGTTCAGTTTCCAAGAGGCAGCTGTCTGTTTTTTTATACCAAATGGGAGCAATATTTAGTCTACATATTGTGAGGATATGTGTTTGGTCTGTGTAAGGCTTGTGTAGACATGACATCCGCAAGGTCCAGACTTCGTGTTAGAACGTAGTCAAGGAGAGTCCATTGTTGGAAATGTGGGTGACACCAACTGTAATACCATTTTTTAAAGAATTTGAAAAATGTGTTTGTTATTGCCAAATCTAGCTCAGTGCAAAGTTACCTAATACGCGATTCCAAGTTTAATGATCTGAACCAACATGAGCATTGAAGTCTCCAAGGAATAAAAGTCTGTCACTACCAGCAACAGAACTCTTCTTTTATGCAAGTTTTGTTTGTCCTTGTTGGTACATATGTTGACATGATGGTGATAAAACAGTTCTTGGACAGTGGGACTTGTAACTTCATCAGCCTTTCAGAGATACAAGCAGGGAAGATTCCACTTGTTTGACTATATGAATGGTTACTGCAAATCCTACTCCAGCATCACTTCTCCCTTTGCCACCCATGCCAGACCAAAAGAAGGTGTAGTTTTTTTCCTATAGTTCCCCTGTTCCTTTAAACTGTGTTTCTTGGAGCACAGCAATGTCAATACTGTGTCTATATAATTCCTTACCAACTATGGAAGTACTTCATTCAGGTCTGCAATTATTTTTTCAATCTAAGAGCATTCTGACATTCCAAGTTGCAAGTTCGAGTGTCATTTTCATATGCTTTTCTCAACCACAAAGTTTGAGGCCCTCTGGGTGTAGTAGCCCTGCCAAGTTGGGTTAAGCAGACTATTATTATCCCTCCTTTTATTGGGGCATCCCTATCCATGGCAGGCAGAGCCATCCCTTAATAGGGCTGCCTGGTTGCTTGAACAGGACCTTGGATTATTACCACTCTGTTGTCAATCCATGACCAACACACTCAAACCACCTATGTGCAGATGAACAACTAATGACTCCCAGCTCCTCAAGTCTGTCACTATCACTGGCCACCCATTGATGCAGGATTTTCTCCTCATTCCACCCTTCGCTGGTGCTTAAAGTGCAGGAACAGTCGCAAATTGTAGATACACCCTCAGATTGAGCTTCTCAGGTTCAATGGAATGCTAGAGCATGATGGTAATCGAGAGAACAATCTAGGTTTTATTTCAGATTGATCTTCTCCTAGAACCGTGACTGTACGTAGATGTGGCTTAATTAACATATAAGTTATAGGAAGTCTACATATGTATACTTATGCTCTGGAGAGCACCTTTCTAAATGTTAATGTACGATATATCACTTTTATCAAAAATGTACTGTCCCTCAGAGGGAGAATATAGAAGAAATCATGTTCATTCATGAGTAAGTTCAGCATGAATTATATCTAATAATAACTAAAAACATAAAGAACATAGTGTGTCAAGGTATGCAGAATTCTCAAACATTTTCCAACATAAAGAAGAATGCATGAATGTAAATGTGGAAATTGAACAATTCCAAATTATCAGAAAGGCTGTAAATGAGCAGTGGTTAAGATGAAAAGAAACATTAGCCATAAAGAACTTAGCACCTGAACTAAACAGGAAATCCAGCATCGGTGAGCTGATGTTAAAAGTGTGAGAAGAGAGAAAAAATTGTACATGTTTGAATTTACCTTGTGTTATTTATTTAAATATAATTTTAATAGCCTATCTATGTACTTTTTCAAGAAAGTTGCATGATATCCTTCATAACATAACATTTGGGCAACAAGGGACCATTTGGTCCATCAAGGCTGTTCCTGCACATTAACCCCTGAGAAAAAGTAAAACTTTAAATTATTCCATTCTTTTTTCAGCAAATTATTAATCCTTCTTTTAAGCTCTTTCCAAATATTGGCCTCCACTACTGGCAATGTGACAACACATTCCAAAAACCAATCACCATGTTAGCAAAATAAAACCATCTTAACTTAGACTGTCTTTTTTAACTCTTAAACTTGTGTTCACTCATCCTTTTACCTTAAAAAATATAGCACAAAGAAATCCTATCAGTCGCATAAATAACCTTTAATAAGATCACTTCTTACTCTTCTTTCCTAAAAATATCTTAACCTTACTGGATAATATTATCCTTTCATCCCCAGGATCAACATAGCAGCTTTCCTCTGAATCCTTTCCACTAAGTCAGTTTACTTTTTAGATATAGAGAGACCAGAACTGTACACAGTATTCTATGTGAGAACAAACTAGTGATTTGTTTAAAGTAATAACTACCTCATTTGACTTATATTTATATGTCTATAAAACAGAACTGGGTGAGTAACTTGATTATCTATGAGCACCGATTACATAGTGTCATGTAAGATAATTGATTAAGTGAAATTATGATTAAATCAATTAATGTCATGAAAATAATCAACTAATAAAAATTATTTTCAATTATTACTATATTTGATTATTTCAATTATCCAAGTCTCATGTGAGAATAATTGATTAGTTTAACATAATAGATCAATATGACTGATCATTAATCTATTAATAAATTCCATTATCTGCCAAGCTTTATTATACACAAGTCCTAAAATTCTACTAGCTTTGCTACTAACAACAGAGCATTGCCTCGATGGTTTGAGTGACTTATCCACTGCAATACCAAGATACTTCTAATACCCTATTGAGTGAATTTGCATCCATGTTAAATGTGTGGTCCAAATTAGTGACCCTAATCCATTACCTTGCACTTACCATAATTAAAGGTTATTTACCAAATATTTGTTCAACTAACCTATAGCATTGGTAGAAAAATTTAATACACTATCAGTCTTACCAGTCTCATAGAAAGTGAAAATAAACTTGTTTTTTAAATTCAAGCTTTTTGTAAACCTTGAGTTTATATTTAACTCTTTGCATCACTGCTAAATTATCAACAGAAGGTTTTACAGTTTTATAAACAACCACACCTGACTTATCCAGGCAGCCCAGTTTATGAGAATGATTTCAAGGACACAGTCTTAGACACCCAAAAATATTAAGTTCTCGATACCATTGTTATCGTGATAACCTTGTATGTTTGATGTACAGGTGACTGGCCAACTAACTTCAACTACCTTGTTTGCACCAACCAATCAATCTTGTTTACCACCAGCTGTGTGTATGCATATGTCAATTGAAATTTGTCTATTTGATATTATGTTCACAAAAACAACAAGGTTTTCAGCCATTTTCTCGTTACAAGATGGTGTTATGCAAATCAAAGAGATTCCTAGAAGTTCCAGGAGACTTGGGTTGTTTTATCATCATCTTCTACAACATCAATGTTCTCCTCACAAAGAATGAAGTATTTTCTAAATTATTATACCCCAAATGCACAGCTTTATACTTCTCGATAGTGAAAACCATCTTTCATATTCTGACCCGATTCATCAAGAATAACAAATTTTTTGAATAAGTATTCTTAACACCATTATACCTTCCTGACATTTTAGTTTCACAAGTGAATTTTGTAATATTATTCAAATTATTGACAGAAATAATGAATATCAAAGGTATCAAATCAGGCTCCAAAGGGACCACACAAATCACATTCTCCTCATTGAAATAATGCTTATCTGTTACTTCCTACCACTATGCAAATTATCTGTCATGTCTTAGCTTTTCCACCAACTTCACAAGCAACGATCTTACCAATTATTTTGAATTGAGTTATTGAGTGGTACTCAACAAATTTTCTAAGACTAAGAAGAGTAAGAGTTAACTTATAATAATTAACACTAGAAGAAATAATTTAAAGTGTGAATGACTAGAGTGAATGTTGAAACAAACATACTTTACTATTTTATTTTTAGGGTGAAATATATGCAAATTATAATTACTAACACTCGTAATAGTATTTATTAGTAATACTATGTACATAATCTGCCAAAACCATTATGCATGGTACACGTCTCTGACGCGAAACATGTTCAGCGGATTTGTCGAACGGCAAATTTATGCCATGGCGCTTCGTTAAATTTACTTAAGACTTCAGTTAAACCATGAAGCTTACGAAAACATTAAGAGTCTCAGCAGAACACTAGTTTTACTTTTAGTTCCATCAGGTTGTGCATTCTTAATCTTACTCAAGCTAAGTACATACCAGCAGGATGATTCCATACAGGTTGGAATTTTGGTGGCACAAATTTATCAAGGGTCACAATAAAATTACGATATACTGCAGCCATGCTCTATTGATAACAATATATATTAAGTATATAAAAATTAAACCCAAAAAATTACGTTCTTCTTGCTCTTATTGTAGGTCACGAACAAGTAGTGCCACCTATTAATAAACAAAGAAAAAATTCCTTTTCCACTTCCTAATTTCAAATAGAATATCGTTGTTATACAATATCAAACTCGACTCGCAGACTGCGGGTCGCGGGTTCGAATCCCCGTCACACCAAACATGCTCGCCCTTTCAGCTGTGGAGGCGTTATAATGTGACGATCAATCCCACTATTCGTTGGTAAAAGAGTAGTTTAAAAGTTGGCGGTGGGTGGTGGTGACTAGCTGCCTTCCCT